ATAGAGGTTGGTCAGATCTGGTTGAATCTTCATTCGAGCGCGCTTTTGCAAGTGGGAGTTTGAGGGATGAGCTCGAGTTTGGATCTATGGAGTCTGCTTCGGTGCTTTGTTTGGGGGGAACTAGGGTGTTGAAGTTGATCTCGATCTGTCTAAGATTTCATTCGAGCGCTCCTTTTCGAGTGGGAGTTTGAGGGGTGAACTTCATCCAGATGTATGGTGGTGTCTCGGCGGTTGTTCGTTGTTTTGGAGTGGAGCTGGGTGTGGAGTTTTATCCAACCATGGAGCTGTTGGCTATGGAATTTTTCCGGCCAAGGAACTGTCTCGGTAGAGTGTTGTTAGGAGTGGGTGAGCTTGTAGATAAAGTGGCAGAGGTGGGTTTGGAAATCCAATGGTTACTATCTCATCCTTCGAAAACAATTTTGAGTAAAAATCCAAAATCCCTTGGACTATTTGCTCCTCTAAATCTACCACTACCCCTGGCCTAACTTCCAGCCTCTTAATGAACTTTTTCTTCCTTTTCCCGTCAACAACCCTATGAAAGAATTTTGAACTAACATCCCCCTCCTTTAACCACCTCACCTTTGCTTTTTGTGCCAAAAAAATCTGCTCTCTAAGAGTCTACTCTTCCAACTTTACGCCTAGCTCCCTCCTCTCTCTCCTCAAATCCTTGACCTCATTCCCCTGCATTTCCAAAAAACCTATCTCCTCCATTCTACCCATAACTTGGAGTTTAGATGATTCCAAATTTCCAAACACCTCCCTATTCCAAAGCTTCACTTGCTCTTTAATGACCTTCAACTTTCTCATGAATTTAAAACCCTCCCACCCATGACATCTAGCATTATTCCACCACCCCGCAAAGTTCTCCTTAAATAAATGATGATCCAGCCACATATTCTCAAACCTAAATGGAGCCGGACCCCACCTAAAAGGGCAACTCTCGATCATAATGGGACAATGATCGGACACCAATCTTGGAAACACCTCCTGTCTCACATTGGGGAAAACCCCTCCCAACCTAAAGAAAATAAAAATCTATCCAATCTAGAACATACTCTGGTTTCTCTTAGATTAGACCATGTGAATCTTGCATTAAATAAAGGAGAATCCACCAACTCACAACCTCTAATGAACCCATCAAAATCTCTCATACTATTATTGATTCTACCCCCAGTAAGCTTCTCTGAAATCTTCCTAACCACGTTGAAATCCCCCCCTAAACACCAATTGAGGTAGCATAATCCATATAACCCACCTAACTTCTCCCACAAAGCCTGTCTCTTAGCGGGGCAATTTGGGCCATATACACCCGACAACCACCACTCACTATTATCTAGATTCCTGAACCTAATAGATAATGAGAACTCTCCAACTAATGAGTCACACTCAAAAACCACTCTCATCCCAAATACATAAAAGACCTCCAGACCTTCCCACTGATGGTAAAAAAACCCACTTTTTATACCTAACTCCTTAAACACTTTAAATGAAATTCCTATCACAAGCTTCCACTTTAATTTCCTGAAAAATGACTATATCAGGTTGATGCTTCTTCAAAAAATCCCTAATGACCCCTCTCTTCTTCCGAGAGCCCAAACCCCTCACATTCCAACTAACAATCTTCATTGAGAAATATTGCCACCCCTAACCTCCTCATGTCTCCTATCATAATTGATTGTACTCACAAAGTTCGTTAACTCCCTAGCCCCCTTTCTAACCTAAGCCCCTCCCCTTTTAACACGTTCCCCCCTGGATACACCAAGCTCCTCTCCACTAACCCCCTCCCTCCCATTTAACCTTACTAACGAAAGTCCCATAGCTTGAAGCAAATGCCTAAAAAGAGATACTTCATTTTCCTCAAGAGGACACAACGCATACTTGCTTAACTCTATCAACCAATACTCAGTTTCAACCTCACTATCCCTCACTCCACTAAAAACACCGCTTCTCCTGGGCATATGATTAACTGATTTTCCCACTTGAGCATCATTTACTTGGCCTACAAGAATGTTAGCACTATAGGACACAGGATTAAAAGTAGAGCTAGACATCATGGCTCTGGAAATATCCGACAAGACTCCTTGATCATCCATTCCCCCTAACAGAACCATCAAGACCCTGACTCTGAGACCCTCCTACCCCATTCCCAAGAGAAGACAAAATTTGACTAGCAATGTTACCCATCTCAGATGCTGGAGTTGTGAGATCTTGGATAATAGTGTCACTGACATGATCCATTGCTTCAGAGGCAACCTCGGCCTCCCCATTCTCAACAATGCCTTGTTCTTTAAAGAGATTACTCAACTGAAAATCATCCTCTTTTTGATCACCTCCATCGCCTTCTGAATCAGAGACAAACTCTGAGCTCGTCTTAGACCCATACACTTCCAAAGCTTGCAACACTTCGTTAGGCTCGAAACACCCATCATCAACCTTGCGACTCAACAAATCAGCATCGTTCATCTCCTCTATCCTCTCATCGACCCACTCCTCCACATTCCTCTCTGTTTTTCTATAGGTCCTCGATAGACCCATTCATAACATCGACTAATCCAAGCTGAATCTCGTCCCTCGTTAGTCGAAACTAATTAATCCTTGAAGAATTCATCTTGCGATCCACATCATCAGCCTCTCGCACCCCAGACGACTCCTAATGTTGAGCCTCCTCCTCCTCCATTGATCGTTTCTCCTCTACAAGCAAATCGGGTTGAACTGCATCACTAATCCTCGCTTCCGACCCATAACCCCTTTCAATTGACCCACTGGACCCAAATCAGTTACATAGACCACATCCACACTTTGAGACCCAACATTATAACCCACTTGTTTCTTACAGAATAGCCCAACTCTTGGAGAATCCAACCTGGGCCGTTGATTCATAACACTCTGGCCTTCTCATAAAGATCATTTGGGCCCAAAATAATTGTTGGCCCACTATGCCCCACCAGCCAACTGAAGCCTCCCAAAGCCCATTATCCCTTGATCTACCCTCCATTTCAGCCACCTTACGGGAACTAACTCCAGCCCCTTCGACTCCTGTACCCTTTCGATTTTTCCCTTCAAAGCCGCTACATGTCCCCCTTGGCTGTCCTTCCCCTTCGTCTTCCTCGTCGCCGGCGAAAGATGCACCAGCAGACTGATGCCGAAAGATTGTTGGCCAAACTTCCCCCTTCCGTCGCACTGACTTGGACAGAGACTTGAGATGCACCATAGAATATCGATCTCCCTCCTTGATCTCCATAAAAACTGGCAGAAAACCAGAATCAAAACCTCTGATTTTCCATCTTACTTCAAATAGATTTTCCAAAGAGACCGTTCTTCTATCCACTTCCAACAAACCACCACACCTTTGACCGATGTACTGAAATACCTTTTCATTCCAAAGGGTAAATGGCAAGTCACACACTGCTATCCACCCTCCATAAGAAACAATCACCTCTGGTTTAACATACCTCACCTCTGACCACTTCTCCAAACTGATCGCCGCACCTCTGTTGAAGAACCTTAATCCCATATTTCCAACAAAATTTGCTTCCTCTCTATTACTTACCCAGAACAGAGCTCTATTGACTTCAAATGGCCGAAGTGCAATAGACTTCTTTAAGTATTTGCTCAACTCTTTTTCAATTTGCGCCCAGCTGCTTGACAAATCACATCTTACACAGATTACCGCCCGCTCCATATCAACCCCTAAATTACCCATTCGATTTTCAGTGAACAAATCAACAAACTTTCTCCCTCTGTTCACCCCTGTATTCCTTTCCCAAGTCTTCTCCTTTGTCCCCTTGTTCTGAACTCCTTCTGTAACTTTAACCCTGTCACCCATACCTATAGTTTTCCTCTTAGGTTCATTGCAAATGATTTTACAAAGCATGGTAGCTGTATCCATCCACCCAGTACCATTATTCCCTACCGGAATGATAATATTGCTCTTCTTGACGCCTCCCTCCCATTTCGACAACTCAACAAAAGCACCCTTACCATTGGTATACTTCTGTAAACAAAACACATTGGAGCTGCTATGATATTTGCTAAAGAAAGTGCCTCTTGTAAAGATTCCCCACCTGCTGTAAAGCCTGCACGGCCCAACTTACACCTCCCAAATCTATCTTCAGAGAGAAGCTTTGTAGCCGATTCCTCTCTATAATCTCCACTAGACTCCCTCTAGATCTCTCGTCAACCTAGATAATGATTACCTTTTGTTCAATCCTCAATTCTGAGGATAACTTCCAATACTCTCTCATTTTCAATGCTAACTTACTATAGTCTGGCAAATTTAAGATATATGAAGCATGTTCTACAAAGCCATGCAAGATATACATGCAACATAAATGGAGGATAACTAATACCTATAACACTATTATTATATGTACATATTGTTGTATAATTGTTATAAATGTCATTTTGACACTGTAAGTTACATATAGTACCATTTTATCTCATATATTAGATTAAAAACATAAAAATATGACATTTTTTTGCCGAATCCGCGTACCCTTAAATTTATGATTTAATGAGTCCGACCTCCAGATACATACCCGTACCCAACACTCGTATCCGAGTCCATGTAACATAGCACTACCATATATATACACCTATACAATCTCTCATAAAAGAAAACACTGCCTAACCTAATATTTTCACAAAATTTACATTAAAAGATAAATTAATTTGGAAAAATTTCATGTAGTGCACCAATAATGTTGTACGATATTAGTCTGCTCTGATAACATATTAGATTGTTAACCACAGACTTTTTTAAAAGTTTAATCTTGTAAAGAGAAGTGTAACTTAATTGTTTCGAGCTTAGCAAACACATATAGCTTACATGGTATTGCTTTTCTTCTTTTTTTTGAAGGGAAAAAGATACATGATACACCAAAAATGTGTAACCAACAACCTATGTGTTAGCCATTGCATCTAGAAGTGTGTGGTTGATCATGTGTACGTGCGCATGCACACATGTGGTCTCTATGTGTGAGTGAGAGAGAGGGACAGACCTTTCGGCAGCAAGCATATGCTTCATGCACCAAAGATGCCAAACCAACACATTCAAAGCAATAGTCAGCACCTCCACCAGACATCTCATTTATCACCTGCTTAATGGCAAAGAAGAATAAATAAATAAAATTTGGTGACACAGAGAAAGCTATACGCCATTTTTTTTCACCCGAATCATATAGTTTTGTAACTTTTTTGAGGATGAATCCCACTCTGCACATTGCCATGGCTAAATAACAAATGTCTTTCCAATTTTCATACAACTAAACCTATCCACCCACAAAAAACCTTTGTAATGACTGGTCACAGCAGGTAAATTAGTTATTAGTTGCTATCAAACAATTTTTTAGCCAATATGTCCGCTGAAATACTAATCCACTTGAGGCACAATCTCGTACCACGAAAAGCACATCTCTTCTTCAACAATTGGTATTCTATCTCAATAATTGATATGTTCTCAACATTAGTGCTAGGGTTAACAAGTGTACCTCACTCAAACGTTTGTCGGTGCAAGTTGCAGAGTTCACAAAATCAGTAACTCCAAATGTTTTGCCTGAGAAGAAAAAAAGGGGAGGACAACATTATTCAAATCTGTGCCAAGCAAACTCGTGAATCACTTGATAATATTATGTTAAAATTATTATCCAAACCATAGCAACAAAAAAATTTATTAACCTGTTTCAAATTTGTCAGGATTCACATCCACACCAATAATTCTAGTTGCTCCACACATTCTTGCACCCTCTGCAACCTACAACACCAGATCATAATCATTATGGTCTCTTAACAACCTTGATTTTTCCTCATTTTTTGGTTAGGCAAAAAACTTATGTCAGTTGTAAAATCATACTGCTAATCCGATTGCTCCCAGCCCAAATATAGCAACAGTGGACCCTGCTTCTACATCTGCTGTTCTCCAAGCAGCACCTACCCCTGAAAACCCAAATTGTGCTTAATATTGTAATTCGATTATTTCTGGCTCCAGGGCAATATTTTAATCAAGTGCAAATGCTTTAAAAATAGCTTGGCTGCAAAGTTGACTCAAGAGTGAAAAGTTTGGAGTCATCTCAATATATGCAAGTCAGTCTATAATTTTTCAGTACAACTATTAGGGCAAACAAACAAAAAAAGCTAAGGATGCAATATCTCAAAAGGTTAGCCATATATACAATATGAGTTTAGCCATATAAACATTCGATGACAATTATGATGTTGAAAATAATATTTAGTAAAAGAAATGAAATCTAAAGGTTTTGTCATAAATTTGACTGAAACAAGTAACAAAATCCAAACATATTACCTGTTGACACTCCACAACTGAGGAGGCATGCCCTATTTGGTGGGATAGCAGGGTCAATTTTGGTTACATGAGCAACATCTACGACTGTGTACTCGCTAAAACTTGACACATATAAGAAATGGTATAAAGTCTCCCCTTTAAGATCCATGAATCGACTTGTCTTGTCTCTATGCATCCAAGGAGAGACCTCAAATGGGAATTTTGAGCATAAGTTGCTCTTCTTGGATTTGCAATCAATGCAATCTCCACAATCTGCCAAGAAGCTTGGGATGACAATGTCTCCTTCCATCACCTCATCTACATTCTCCCCAATGCTCTCCACAACCCTTACAGAACATAAATGTGAAATAGTTAAGCCACTTCTCAACAAGAAAGCATGAATGGTCATTGAGCTCAAACTTGAAATAGAAGCTGTGGAGAAGGATGAAATCTTAATGGTAGCACAAACAAGACAAGAAGTTAAGACAGTCACCAAAGTCATCATGCACAAAATAGACCAATTCAAGGCCACAATTCAAATCCTATTTCCATCCTAGAACAAACCTCTACTTTCTTCTTATTTTATTTGTAATTTATTAGTATAACTTATTTCTCCTTTTGTGGTTTATTTATTTTGATCAGAGAAAATCTTTAAAAGTTTCTAAGAGAAAACTTGCACCTTATAACAGAAAACTTGTATCATCTTTCAAGATGCTCAAGAGGAGGATGCCTTACTACAAAATTCCTTAAGCCTTCAACAGGGCATTAGTATGAAGGATCGGAACTAAAAGAAAATAATTCAAGAAAGTTATATTGCTGTCGTCACTCTTCGTTTTGGAAGAGACTATTTTAGTAACTTTTTAGCTTTTTATAAAAAGATGTGCAGAAAAGTAGAGAAAGTGATGTGACAACTTTTTTTTTTGATTGGCAAATGATGTGACAACTTATAGTGACTTTTTCAGCTTTTTAGCTAAAATATTTAGTCCCCAAATAAATAGTAAAATCAGCAAGATTGTGTGGCAATTGATTCATGGTGCAAATACATTAATCCAACAAGGTAAGTGACCCTGCACTTTGTCTTGGAACAAAAAAGATGCACTCTTCCATTCATCAAAGTTAATTTCTCTTTTGTTTGCATAAGTAAATTCATCAAAATTAATATCTTAAAATTAGAAAACAAGTATTGTGATAACGCACACCAAATGAACTGTTAAAAATTTAATATAAGTATAAGATAATACAACAAAAAGAAAAAAAATAAATTGGAGTGTTTCTATAAATTATTGCTATGAACCTTAAAAAATTGACGCAAGCATTCGACAATTCATGAATTCATCATGATTAATTTTTGAAGAATCAAGATTGCCACCAAATTTCAGTTTCCGGTTTTTTTTTTTTTTTTTTTAAACAGCCAAAACAATCATTAAAAAATTACAAGAGAAAAAAAAAAATCAAAGAAACCCAATGGCAGCACATGATCTACAGCCACAAAACTTTATCATCAAGAATAGAAAATCAGGCTTCCACATGATCATGACAGTCATGAGCAAAATGGAAAATATTCACATTTGTAAGAAAATTTCATGGGAAAAGCAAGGGTAAGTGGACTCTGTAGATATCATTCACAGAAAGTCTTCATACTAGGATAATATAATATTTCACAAGATTAGGTGTATATCATGCCGGCCAAAAATAGTAATTGTTAGTTTATTCATTTATATTATACTTTATATATTAGATTAGAGAATTCAACCAGCCAGCCATCTATGGGAATTATTTATGTTGTTTATAGTCATGTGTATTTTACTGTAAAAATACTCCAATAGCTTCCCTAGCAAACCCGAACAGTGCATCATAGGCTTCAACCGGCCAGCCATCTATGGAATTGATGTAGGCTTCAGCTCTCCTAATGATAAACACCCCTACAAAACACAATCCCATAACTCCCAAAATGATCTAAACCATTAATGTCACTACTGTCAGAGATAGAAAAAAAAAATTCAAACTCATCAATAATCAATACATCAGTGGGATCGTGAGGTACTCTCTTTTTTAGGGGTCTCAAACAATTTCTCCCAAAAATTTTTACAGCTAAGGGAGATGTCAATTTTGATTCTTTTCATTATTTTTAAATGGTCTATTTCAAAATTTGGACTTAAACTTGTTACTTTTGTCCTCTATTTTAAAGTTAAAAACTTGTTTAAATAATAAAATAATAAATATCAAGTTGTGACTTTAATTTGAGTGGAGATTCTCTATTATTAACCTGTCATCTTCTCTATGCACCACAATAAAAAATAAAAATAAAAATTAATAAATAACTTATGACCAAAAGGCCACAAATTTTGAAAAGTCAACTAAAATGAAGAAAAAAATTACACAAAAAATAAGTAAATTAAAACAGGCGTTGGATGATGAAGGAATACTGGAAATTATAGTTACCCAACAGATTCGTGGCCGAATATTCTTGGAAAATATCCAGGAGGATCCTTCAAAAACAGGAATGAAAACGAATTGCTAAGTTTATATACTACACAATTCTTGGAATTATAATAAAAAAAAACAAGTTTACCTTGAGTTTCCAGAAAGTGATGTCGCTGTGACAGAGAGAAGTGCAGATGATTCGAATGCGAACTTCGTAAGGGTTTGGAGGAGCCACGATCACCTCCTCTATCACCAATGGCTCCCCTGCTTTCCGCCCAACCGCAGCTGCAATTTTTTATTATTATTATTGTTATTTTAAGCTCGCGTTAGAAATTGACGATTCTGTTTCAGAGATTTGTAACAAAAACTCAAAATCGTATGAGAAAAAACAAAAAAGCTTTGGATGCTGAGCCACCTCTGCATCGGATGGGCTTCCCTGCCGTGTTGGAGCTCAGTGATTCTTCTTTCTCCGCCATCGCAGAAACCAGTACTAGTATTTGTATACACAGCTCTCTCTCTCTCTCTCTGCCTATATGTGAGAGTCAACTGTGTCCCAAATGCCAAGCTACGCATCTGTATATATGAAGTGAGGAGTACTTGGTGTTGGGTCTGCTTCAAACAAAACGTAGTCTATGTATTTTTGGCAAACGACTCTCATAATCAAACAAAACGGATCAGGTTGTTTGTTTTGGAATTTCACAACTTATTTTTTATTTTTTTTTTATTGAATTTTTTTAATATTTTAAATAATTTTTTTAATTTTAAGATATACCTAACATAAATAAATTTAAAAGTATAATATTTGTGATTTTTTTAAAAAAAAACTCATTAAATACCAAAAATATAAAAAATAAAAATAAAAATTCAGTACATTTTTATATTCTTATGCATTTATTAATTTTTAAAAATATTTTACTTTTTAGATATATCTAAGTAAGGTGTATTTAAAATTCTTAAAATATCTACTAAAAATTAAAATAGTATATATGAAAAAAATTCAATTTTATAAAATTAAATCTAGAAAATCAAACTAACCCACTGACTAATATTTCTTTATCAGTACTAATAAAAGGTCTCTTTTTTTTTTTTAACAATAAAGGGTAGTTGTATGGTTTTTTTTTTTTTTTTTTTTTTTTTTTAAGGGCTAGAGTTACTAACAAAATTACGAAGAAATTTATCAAACAAAAATAATCCGGTCCCTCCAAATGTGACCCACAACCCCTTAACTGTGATTGGCTAATTTTTTTTTTTTTTTTTCCTTCCTCCAATCACCAATCCCCACGTGTGTGTAGGCGGGTGTAGAGTTAGTGATTGAGGGGGTCTCAATACTTACTCTTTTATCAAATTACCTAGTATAATAAAGGTACCTCTTTATTAATCGAATAAAAGTAATTGTGATTTTTTTTTTTTTTTTTTTTTTAAAGTGCTTACTAACAAAATTACGAAGAAATTTATCAAATTACTAGGGCTAATAAAAGGTGCCTTCTTTTTTCACGAATAAAAGGTAGTTGTATGGTTGTTGTTGTTTTTTTTTTTTTTTTTTAAAGTGCTTACTAACAAAATTACGAAGAAATTTATCAAATTAATCACATGAGTATGAAACCTGTATTTATGCGAGTATTGGGTAACTTTTTTGATAATAAATTTGGTGTCTCCAATATATATATATATATATATATTTATATATTTTTGACTGGTTTTCACTCTGATTCATAATTAGATTGGAAAGGTATTGTTTAGCCAAGTGGCCTCTCTTTTGATTCCCGGTTTGATGATCATAATCGTTTATATTTTATGATTCATCGAGTACATTACTTCTGCAAAAAAAAAAAATCAAGTTGATCAGATAACAAAAATCACTTATTCGGATCAATTTTGAATACAAAAATAAACGGTTCATACCAAACTAATGAACGTGTGATTACCTTTATCCGATCAACTTAAATTTTTTACATGTATGATACACTCGATGAACCCTAAAATATAGACGATTCAAATCATTGAAACGAGATCCAAAAGTAAATTCATTGGGTCAAACAACACCTCTCCAATCCATAAGTTCCATTATGGAAGGGAGAGAAGCTTATTTTTTTTAAAAGATTGATAGGCACTTGTTTGTTTTTTTTCGTCAAGTATATAATGTTAGTATGTTATTGAAGTTATGTTACAACTTAAAGAGATTGTTGCTGATCTATCAGCTTGAATTCTAGACTTTTCACTCACCTCATCCTAAAGTGCGGTTACATGTCACTCAGGTAGAGTAATTTTAGAATAATGTTTTTAAATAGTTGGGTTTAATTTTGTAAAAGTTAAGAATATGATAGTATTAAGTTGAAGGTATAATAGTATTAATAATCATTTGAAAAAAATCTCACCAATCTAGAAGATCTTGATTGGTACTCTCACACCATTTTGATTCTTCGGACAAGACAATGAGAAAGTAATTTTTCTTAAATTTTATAGTGTTCTCGTTTAACATATGGATTGGGTTAAATTAATTTATTAAAAGATAAAATAGATTAATTTAATTAATAAAATAAAATGTCACATTTAAATTATAATAATTTTATTTTTTCTCTTACAACTATCAAATCAATTATAAAAAAAGACACAAGTTTTTTTTTGGGGGGAGTCGGTATAAAAAATATATAAAAAATGGCCTAAAGTTTATTACAAACAAAAAAAATTTAGTCATGATAAAATAGTCAAAAAGTCAAATAATTAGGCTAAAAAAACTTATCTAAAACAAAACATTGCCTTTATCCCAATCGGAGAAAGGGATTAATCGAATGACACATAAAAAAAATACCGAACAAAAAAATAATAATAATAATAAGGTATTAGGTTAAAACTTACTTAAACTACGTATAATAATTTTTTTATTTTAGTATAGAGAAAGTTGTCACGTGATATGAGGAGAATAATGTTTCACTAAATCAATTTAAATTTTCACTTAATAATAGTATATAGATAATTAAAAGGCCGGGTGGATGCAATGGGTGAGAAACACACATGATAATGTATATACACACCTTGAAAGGGGGTATACTATTATAATTATATCATTTTTTTTTAGTTTTGATTTATGAGATCTTTAATTATGTCTTGTAGTGTTTGGTTATGAATTTTTTATATAGTTATGACTCAAAAATATAAAATTATGATATTTTTTTTTAAGTTATGGGAGGGTAATTTTTGGTAAAAATTGGGCCGAGCTGTGTGATGGGAATTATGGCCCAAAGTGCCAAGGACTGGGTGAAAAAAACCGCAAAGTTATTCCGGCCCAGGAGAAGTATAGTTACTCTGGCCCAGAAAAAGTGTAGTTACTCCGGCCCAGGAGAGGTATGGTTACTCCAGCTCAAGAATGTGTAAAGCTACTCCGGTCCGGAGGCAACTTGAAGTGAGTCCGGCCTCACATTTAGTCCGGTCGTGACATATTATGGTTAGATCGGTCAAAGCTTGCTACTTGGAAGTTTGGTCTAAACACACCATGGTTGAACAGGAGAAAGCCGAGATAAGGAGTAGGAGGAGAAAACCGAGCTAAGGATAGTTCGTCCTTCTCTGTGGCTCAGCATAGCCAGTGTTATTTCGGTCATGTGGTAGTTCGGCCATAATGAAAACCATCCCACTTGGTTTAAGCAGTGGGGGTGTAAAAGGATAAGCATTATCCTTAGGAGTATGAATCCTAGGAGGACTCTGCATGGAGGAATAAAAGTCCTACTAGGATTGTGCCATAGGAAACTTTATAAAAGCTCACAAACATCACCTTGGAGGAGGTAATTGAACACAACACAATTTTGCTTTCTGAGAACATAGAGCTTTGTCTATTTGTCAAGATTATAATTATATCATTTTTTTTTAGTTTTGATTTATGAGATCTTTAATTATGTCTTGTAGTGTTTGGTTATGAATTTTTTATATAGTTTTGACTCAAAAATATAAAATTATGATATTTTTTTTTAAGTTATAAAGGACATACATGATAGTCTTTCCGTAAGGCTCATCTTGTTTAAAATGAAATAAGTGGAAAGTGAAATAAATTTTAAAAAATTAATTTCTATAAGTTTGTTTAGCTTGAAAGTGGTAGAAAGTATGAGAAAACTAATTTTATTGTACAATTCATATTAGCATCGTAATTAATTTTTTATTTATTGCAAAAAATACAAGAAAACACAAGAAAAATTGAATGTGTGAGTTATTCATAACTAAACTTTTGAATTTTTCTATATTTTTTTTACAAAATTTTCATCTTAATTAAATACTTACAAGAAAATATAATTATTTTATTTTATTTTATTTCATTTTCTTTTACTTTCACTTTCTATCCAAAAAAAAAATTCTAATGAAACGAAGCCTAAAAGGTAAGCTTTCTTACAAAAAAATATAAAAAAAAATGGTATTAGGTGAGACAGAAACACCAGTGTGATTGGGTACCTGTCTAATTACAAATGTTTAATTATATATTTTATTTTATTTTATATTTTTTAAATTGTGTCGTGTTACTGGCTTAAAGGCTAAAGTCTCCTTTGAAAATAAATTATTTTAATAATATTTTAATATTTTATAAAAAAATATGTAAAAAATAAAAAATAATAAGATAATTTATAATAATTTTTTAATTTGTTAACTAAAATAATTACTTCTCAAGCCAGACCCAAGCATATGGCCAGGGATAATCCATCCAGAAACACCGGATGAGTTCTCCATGATGCCGTCCAAAAACTGTTGATCACTCACCTACTCCCCGCGAAACAATATTCTCGTCAATATTTTTTTTTAATATTTATTATAAATTTTGAGTTTTTTTAGTTTTATTTTATGCAATTGCTCTTCGTTTTGATATTAAAAAAATGTTAAGACTTTTGATGTGTTTTGTGTTTGTATTGATAATGATATTAATAACTTTATTAAAGTAACAAATTGTTAGAGTATTTTGATTTTTGTTTATTAGTTTTATTTATTTATATTTATTTTTATTAAAATATGATATGATAGACATAAATAATTAAATTATATATATTTTAAATATTTACCATCGTCAATTTATCTTTAAAAGTTAGAGTAGGACTTTTAACAAATAGATCAAGTGCACATAATCGATTCATAATTGTCTCAATTTTTTGAGATTTACAACTAATCCTATTGATCATACTTGTTTATTTATAAGTCATACTATTTTTCATTTATTAATATTCTCAAACAATGTTGAGATAAAATAAACATTTTGTTAATATATTAAAATATATATAATTTTTAAAATTTCAAACCCATCAAATAAGGCTGACTTATAAATTACCATGAATTTTTTGTTGTTAATTTTTATATCATTTGTAATATTTTCTGTTTAGAAATTTACTAATTTAATTATTTTTTTAATTTTTTATAAAAATATGTGTAAAAAAATGAAAATAATATAATAATTTATCGTGATTTTTTATTATAAACTAAATTTTTTAAGGAAAATTTACCCATAAGTCCTAGTTTCTGAAAAGTTGAACCATTTAGTCCTAAAAGTTTTCTTATGCTCCATTTAGTCCCATTTGCACATCAATCTAATGTTTGAAACATTAATCTGATGTTCGAAATCTAATGTTCGAAACATTAATCTGGTGTTTGAAATCTAATGTTTGAA